GTAGGAGAGTGAGGGAACCAGAAGTTGGAAGGACCCAAGCCGTCACCCCTGATCCAGCTGAGAATGTTCGGGCAGTGGAACAAGCTGAAGGACCAGCAGCCTTACCAGATACCCGACCCCTTCTTGCCCCAGAGCAGGGGATTAACCCGCCCCAACCCAGAGACATACAACTGCAGAGAAAGGTCCTGCCCTTAGGGGTAGAATTCAATGGGGACCCCCCCAAACTGGGGTTTTTCCTGGCACAAGTCCTCACCTATATACAATATGGGAGGAATTCTCCTGACCCAGGGGGCCCGAGTGTGAGTTGTCACCCTGGACCTAGAAGGGGCAGCAGCCAAATGAATGGTGACTCTCCACAACGTCAAAGTGCCAGAAATGAGGAACTTCGAGAGATTCAAGACACCCCTATGCAGAGACCCCCTCGCCGATAGAAAAGCCCGCAACTGCATTAGAGTTGTAAAGCAAGGCTGCCGCCTGATAGCTGAGTACACCGAGGAATTTCGTGACCTGGCCGGGCGAGTCGACTGGCCAGAAGATATCCTAGTCTGTTGGTTCAAAGATGGACTCAATGATGACCTATATGCTGCCTGCCTGGCCCGTGGGGCCCCAAAACTCCTGCATGAATGGTACCTGATGGCAGAAGAGGCGGAGATAGACATGACCTATAACCAGTACGACAGTGGCAGAGTTTGGAGAAGATCCTCACCCCAGGGAAAGCGGGAATTTTTCAAACCCCAAACCATCATGACCCCAAGACCAGCTGGCTGCTTTAAGTATGGAAGAGGGGGGCACCATGCAGCAGAATGCCATTCAAAAACCCCTGCCAGAAAGCCAGACCACCCATCGGGGAAAACCTGGAAAATCCAACACTCGAGGAAAAGAAACTGGCCTGAGAAGCTGTTAGGTTCTGTTCCCCCCACCCCCACGACCCAGAGGAAGAAACCCCAAAGCCCCAAGGAGACATGAGCCAGTCTAAAAGTGATCTGGAAGACAACCTGCTGGTAAGCGACCCAATCACTCTACCCCTAAGACTGTTTATCCCCAGCCAAGGGAAGGAGGAGGAAGTTGCAGCGTTACTGGATTCAGGATGCACCTGGTGCCTAATCAACCCCTCCTTAGCAGAGAAATTGGGAATCCAACTAAAGAAAATGGAAAATCTCATCGCTTTTTGCCAATTAGATGGAACTATGGGGGGTGGGGGTGGAGCCAGCCAGTTTTGCCACAGAACCATTGAAAATAAGACTAGGGAACCATAGTGAGATGCTCACATTCATTGTAGCACCAGGAATGAAAAGGCCACTAGTACTAGGACTCACATGGCTACGGAAATGGAATCCAAAAATAAACTAGGAGAGAGGAACCGTACATTTCCAGAAACATGTAGCATTTGCAAACAGCCCAGAGGAAAGGAAAAGAAAGGGAACAGAACAGAGAATCAGCCATGGCCAGTCAGCCGGCTGAACCCATTAACATCTCCAACGAGTACCAGGACTTAGCCGAAGTATTTAGCGAGGAGGCTTCTGATGAACTCCCACCCCATTGCACCACAGACTGCGCCATTGAAATCCTACCAGGGACTAAACTTCCAAAACCAAAAATGTACTGCATGCCCCCCAAAGAATTAAAAACTCAGGGCATTTATTGATAAAAATCTAAAAACTGATTCCACTGAACCTACCTGACCAAAAATAGCAGCCCCAGTATTATACCGTGAAAAGAAAGATGGCACGGTGCATTTATGTGTTAATTACAAAAATCTTAATGTCATCAGTATGGAGAATATGTACCCACTCCCCCTCATGAAGGACATGTTAGCCCACCTTTCTAAAGGATTTTTTTTTAAAGTTAGACCTACGAGAGGCATACTACCACATTGGAATAAGGGAAGGGGATGAGTGGAAGACTGGGATGCTACCAATTTAAAGTGCTCCCTTTTAGATTACAAGGAGCCCCTGCCGTGTTCATGCAATTAATTAATGAGACCGTTCATGAATTTTTGTACAAAGGGGCTCTTGTTTATCTCGTATATTTTAATCTACACCAAAACAAAAGAAGAACACACCAAATTACTTTGTGCAGTTCTCACAAACCTCCTAAATGCCAAACTATACTCAAAACTCTCTAAATGTGAATTCCACCAAGAAAAAAATTGACTACCTGGGATATAGAATATTCCATGAGGGAATAGAGATGGACCCACAAAAAGTAAAAGCTGTCATCGATTGGGAGCCTCCCCATACTCGCAAACAACTGCAGAGCTTCCTGGGTTTTGCAAACTTTTACTGCCAGTTCATCCCAGCTTTTGCGAATATCGCCCTCCCCATCATGAACTTGTTAAAAACAAAAGGAGGGGGAAACCCAAACCAAGGCAACCCCTTACCTGGACGATGGAATGCCAAGCAGCATTCGAAAAACTCAAACGTCTGTTCTCAGCAGAACCAATCCTGAAACACCCAGACCCTGAACAACCATTTGTCATCCAAGAGGACGCTAGCGATGTAGCAGTTGGAGCAGTTCTACTCCAAAAGAATGGACATGGACAGTTACAACCATGTGCTTATACTTCCAAGAAACTGACAGAAACCAAGCAAAGATGAGCCATATGGGAGAAAGAGCCATATGCTGTGCGATGGGCATTCCTCACATGGAGGCATTTCCTAGAAGGGAACCAAATCAGTCTGGACTGATCATAAAAATCTAGAAGCCCTGAAAACTCCACGGAAACTCTCAGAAAAACACTTGCTTACTCAAAGATGGTCTAGCCTGGGTAGAAAACAAACTTTACATCCCTGCCAGCCAGAGGATGGACCTCATGAAATGTTGCCACAACTCAAAAATAGCGGGGCACTTGGTTTTGTAAAAACCCTGCACCTCATCAAAAGACAATTTTGGTGGCCATCTCTCAAAAAGGACATTGAAAACTATGTTGCTAGTTGCCTATTCTGCTGCAAAAAAAAGACAAAATCTCCTGGACTTTTACAAACAGTGACAGAACCTTCAGCACCCTGGAAAGAGATCTCTCTGGACTTTATAGTGGAACTCCCTGAAAGTGCAGGAAATACTGTCATTTGGGTTGTAACTGATCTTTTTTCAAAACAGGTTCATTTTGTACCATGCCAGAAGATCCCAACAGCCAAGGCCTTGGCAAACTTGTTTTTAATACACATTTATCGCCTTCATGGAGCTCTCCAAAGGATTATCTCAAATAGGGGTGTACAATTCACATCCACATTTTGGCGGGTATTTTTAAACCTATTAGGCTCAGAGGTTGTCATCATCAAATCACCCCCAGTCTAACAGCAGGGCTGAGAGATCAAACAGCGTATTAGAATAATATTTAAGATGCTTTATTAATTATCAACAGGACAATTGGACTGACCTCCTTCCTTTGCAGAGGTAGCATACAACAACTCGGTCCACAGTAGCACTGGTTTCACCCCATTCCAGGTAGCCACAGGCCAAGTATTCAACCCCATGGCGGAATTACCCAACAAGGAACCTGAAATTCCCTCCCTTAAGGAGTGGATTAATAATTTGCAAGCCACTTGGCCAGTGGTCAGACTAGTCTTACAAGAGGCTAGTGCAGCTTTTAAAGCTCAGGGGGACAAAAGACAGGTACATCTAGTGTTTCACTGTAGCCTACTCAAACCAGAGATCACTTCAAACCTTAGATTCCCCCCTCCCACACTTCCAACTCCCATTATGGGACATGGGGAACAATATTTTGAAATTAAATCTATCCTTGATTCGTGTACTCACTGTGGATCCACACAATATTTTGTAGCTTGAAAATATCTTCCTCAGAAAATGAGTGGGTAGCCAAAAGACATGTAAAAGCACTCACATTACTACATAAGTGCCACCTGAAATACCCTCACAAACCACCGTAAGTTATAAATGTAACACATGTCTTATGTTTTCCAGGTGGATTTATCAAACTTTTGAGGAGGGCAGGATGTCAGATCTGTGTATCTGCCATTCTTCAATGGAAGAAGGGTGGGGGGGAGTTGGTACAAGTAATCCTTTTTGATGTAACCTGAATATATTAAATCTTATATTGATTCTATATAACTTTCACATGATATACAACTGGAGGATTGGAGCCAGATGTCTAGAAACTTTGTCACCTCTTGAAGAGATAACAAGATGAGAAGGGACCGTAAAAATTCCAGCTCTGGAATACCCCTGGGAACTCTCCTAAGATACATTCCCAGAGAAGGGGAGGGGGGAATTAACATTAACATATCCCGTGGCTTGCATAAACCGCTCCTGCCCCTTTCAAAATGGCCCCTCGGCACTTCTCTCAGGCACCCAGGGCCTTCCGAGAACTGGGGGAGGGGATGTAGGTATGCCAGTGGAGACGGGCTTTGGTTGCTCGTTCTGCTGCAACCCCAAACCCTTGGTTGCAGCTCACGAGCACTCTGTCTGCCAGGGGAACCAAAGCAGCCAAACGCCGCCTTCTGGTTCTGCATCCCTGGACAGAGCTCCAGATGGAAGGGCTTGCTTTGGACCTAGGCTGGAGTGACGAGGAGGGAAACCGTGCGACCAGAGGCCTGGCTGCCACAGCCTGCAAGAAGATCTTCAGCGCCACCAGCATAACAGGCCTGCCCACCGTGGCACAAGCCCTGGAGGCAGGGGAGGGGGCGTCAGCCTCGGGGGAGAACAAGTGGGGGACCTATGAAGGGGCAGTGAAAGAACACACTCGGGATGTGGCTGCTTCCCAGGAAAAAGTGGAGGGGTGGGCGCGAGTATCAAAGAAGTAGCTCCTTGCATTGTGACTGCTAGTATTAAAAAGAAGAATAGAAAAGGGGGCTGCTGTAGATTGTTTAATGTACTGCTAAATTGGCCACGCCCACCCAGTCACATGACCACATAGTCACACCCACCCAGTCACATGACCACATAACCACACCCATCAAGCCATGTCTACCAAGCCGCAGAACCGGTAGTAAAATTTTTTGAATCCCATCACTGGAAAAAACCCTCCAAGAATTACTCACTAACACTGGAGGTGTATCTGGTTCTTCATGGTACTGCATATTCCTTTTTTCACGAGTTTCCTAGAATAATAATACAGCACTATCAGGTGTCAGGAAGAGATCACAAAACTCTAAAGCAGGGGTGATGTCAAAAGGATGGTGTAAAAAAAAAGCCATCCTTTATGTAAATTTATACGGGCTCGAGTTTGGCTCTCAAAAATCTAATTAGTTTTGGCTCCTTGTACTAACAGTAATACTAAGATGCCATTCACAGATTCCATATAAAGCTACAGTTCATTTTTTAAATAGATATGTGTTGTGGCTCCGGGCTTGGATTCAGCTCCTGTGATTGATATGAGTT